CGCTCCATTGATCTATGACAAACATTAAGTCACCCTTCGTGATCCTTACTAGTCCTAGTTAGTGTGCCGGTTAACCACACACGCTCCACCAACGACTTGGTAAGGTACAAAGTGTGAATTCCATGGACTAGCACCATGTTCACATTTTTCCTAAAATAACTAAGATTGGGAATTAAAAGAGTTTAGTTACTTTATAATATTCATTATACTTTTAATGAGGATTTAAAGTCATTGTTCTACCCGTTCGGCTAACGACCCTCCACCGATCAAGCAAGCGGTGGGTGAGAGTATACACCCATTAAGTCGCCATTTTATAGGCAACAACCTTATACCCACCTTATAGACCGGCTTCGTGAATGAGGCCTACTAACGGTAAAACGACTTATTCTTATACATATATATAATAATTAACCATTAATGTTATAAATAGTATAAGGGTTGAATTTTAACTATTAAAACTCTAAGGTTTGGAATTAAAGTTTATTAAAGTGTGTGAAACTTTACAAATTCCAAAACTTGAGGGCAAGTTTTGTAACTTTGCAAAACTCTTCATTTCATAACTTATGAATTAAAGGTTCATAAAAATGAAGACTCTTCATTTTCATGTAACTTATGTGTTTTAAGTGTGTGTTAAATGAAAGTGACCTTTGGTAATCCATAACTTGAGGACAAATTATGGACTCCATTAAAACACATAAATGATAAAGAATTAATCCTAAACAATTCAGCAAATAATTCCTATCATTTTCTAAATTCATAAGAACATGAACATGATCATCAAAAATTCAAGAATTATATGAACACATAAAATCATGGAATTTTGATATATGCTATTGTAAATGGATTAGAACAACCATTACACCAACTAAAATAAGTTTTATAACACCAAAACAATTTAGGGTAATGTTTCTAGTCCATTTCCAGCAGCAAAAGTCGAGAATCTGCACTCTTTCGATCCTACTCGTCGAGTGCATGAACTGACTCGTCGAGTAGGTTGAAGTTTGCCTTGGACTCGTCGAGTCCCCCCAATGGACTCGGCGAGTCCACCATGCAGACAGCAACGATTTCGACTTTTTTCACTATTTTGCATCAAGTATCAAACAAGCAAGCCTAGGCTCTGATACCACTGTTGGGTTTTGAGCAATCTAACACTTCCTAAGTGTGCATGCAACCCTAATAAACCTTGGATCTATGTTTGTCTAAATACATGCAAAATAATAATTTTCCAAGGTTTATAACCTATCTAACATGGCATGGGGAACATTTCAACATAAAAGAGTTAGAAGAGATTACATACCTTTTGGTGAGTTTGGTTCTAAGGAGTTTGAGGGCCAAGCACCAATAGTGTGAATGCCTCAAATGGAATCACAAACACCACAAACTCTTGGAAAACTTTAGAGAGTATACACCTTGTATAAAATCGGCCACACACATGCACACACACACTAGTTCACTAGTTTTCTCTTAGGCTCATTTCATGCTCCATAAGCATGCTTATATAGTGTGCATGGTTAGGGTGAAACCCTAATAACCCATGTCTTTTCCTTTTCCAAGGATCCATGGGTTAAAAGCTCCATGGATCATCCATGGACTTCCACATAAGCCTAGCCCATTAACAAATGAGTATTAGCCCACACTATATAAAACAAATAGCCCATAATTTAATTAGTATTCCTTTTAATCTCTAAATTAATTCATAATTAATTTAAGACTAAAACTAATTAAATAACGTAACTTCATATTAATATATTATAACTCATAATATATTAATAAACATATGTGTATAACTCTCATAAAATTATCCATAATAGTTTGGATGAGATGCAACCCAAATGGACCATGCCGGTCGGGTCAAGTATATACCAAATAAGTTATGGACTTAGACACCTTATCCAACAGAATAGTTGTTAGACTTATCCAAGTGGGAGACTGTTGGATTAGTGTCTAAGTCCATAACTATTTTGGTATGTACTTGACCCGATGGTGCATGGTCCTTTTGGGTTGCCTTCACCAAAGCAACTTGATTGGAGAAAAGAATAAAGAGAGGGAGGATAATATGATTTATTAATATGTTATAAGAATTATATATTAAAGGAGAAATCATATTTGTTTAATTAATATTGGTCAATAATTAATTAAGAATTAGTTTTGTGATCAAATGTAATTAATTAAACTAGAGGGGCTGATTTGTAATTATGTAATAGTTACAAAATAAGGTAAGGATTATCTTATTTATATGGTGGACGAATTTAAGGTTGAAAAGTCTTAGAATTCGAGTATGATAAGGATTCAAGGATTATCTTATTGGTTGCTTAATGGATAATCAACTAGATAAGGATAATGACTGAAACCCTATCTCTACACCAATATAAACACCCTTAGGGTCATGAATTCGTGTATCCCTTCCCAAGAGGTCCTAGATACGAATTCTAACCTCTCACCTCTCTCTTTATACCTTCTCCATTTGCTTATGGTGTTTGTGAGCCATTAGAGGAGTGACACTTGTGACTCTAAGCATTCCAAAGTCAATACAAGGAGATTTGTGATTGTTATTGCTACATAACAATCAAGGTATGTTCTTAAACCTAATTATATGTTAATGTTGATTTCCATATGTTAGAATTAGGGTTTATAGTCTTGGATTCAAAGCATGTACAATAGAGAAACCTAGATCCAAGCATTAGGGTTTGTATGAGCACATAGGATGTCTTATGACCAAAACCCATCATATTTGTTGTTTTTCTTAGTGCACTTTCTTTTTTAACTAATACGTCTTTCTCTAATTCCAAACACTCATTAAAATTCAAATTGTATTATTCAAAGTTTATTGCCATCTTTTGTATTTCATCTGCTTTGTTTAATCTCGATGCACTAGAGAAAGAAACTTACTTATTTGTTTTATGCCTACCTATCTGGTAGACTATTTCCTCGAATTCAATCTCGTCATCATCATTCAAGTCTTACCCAACACGAGCATCTGAGGAAATTGTGTAGCTTGTTTAAGATGTTTTATTCGTTTTGATGCAACAATTTCTTTATCTACCTCTAGCCATTTCGGGCTACACGGTAAAGCTTTCCAAAACTCAATATATTGGAATGTCTTCTCTTAATTTTCCAACTGGTGTATATTTAATGTCTTATCAAAAATGTCTTAATTTTCCAACTGGTGTATATTTAGTGACTTATCAAAAATGTCTTCATTATTTTGTCCAATTTCGTGTTACGTTTTAAGTTGTATACCCATTGAACATTGTAACTATTCACATCTTGATACTTGATTGCCAACTGTTGTGTTGTATGTTACTCACTTCGACACATTTTATTATGAAAACGTATGTAACGCGTCTCAAAAATGATAATTCGCTTGCATATTTTTGGTATTCGACTCCTCCGATATGTCAACCTACGAACAAGTCAACATGATTTCTTCCTTCGAAGACCAAATTTGAGCGTATTGTTTTCATTTTTCCTTTGAATTAGGATAGTTCAGCAACGAGTTTTAGTTGGGTTTCAATGATGTCTTCAGGTGAGGGTTGCGTTTCTAGCATGAATTCGACTTTTGGATCGGACGAGGTTGTGTTTAGGAACATATTCGGGAAGAGACGAGAAGTTGTTAAATAAGTTTGCGATAAGAGTTGTAATATGATTAAATTTTTACATATTTTAAAATTGAACATTGGTGGGTGAAAAATACAGAAGTTTATATTTTATCAGTAAAATGGTATTAACGGATAGAGAGTAGATTTCTAGGTGTACAGGATCTTGTGTTAAGGTTGTTAGGAGAATTGTTTGAATACAATTAGATTTAAAAAAAAATGAATGACAGAAGGATAATAGAAAGTGTGAAATTGAAGGTCAAAATGTTGGTATTTATAGCATGATTGTTAAGATCCTGATCTTGATCTTCAAATTTTACAATTTTAAGATCCTAAAAGCATAAAACAATCTCGGTCTCACTAGGATCTATTTGAAGCATGTATAGTGAGATTTTAAGATCTCAACTAGGATCTTAATATCTTAACATGATCTGATCTCACCTCTCTAATTTTGCTATACACTCGAGTTTCAAAAATTCATATATTCAATTGAAATCGAGCATCACAAGTTTCAAAAAGCCTCAGAGTTTCACAGATTCGTTTCGGATTAAGCAGGTCATACTCATGATATCCCATTTGTGATCTTAAGCTTTTAGTTGTACATAACCATAATGATTTTGTTTCTTTTTGCATTTAAGATGTTTACTTCCTAATTTTTACGGTTTGCAACAACAAAAATTATGATTTATGTTTAAATAGATAAAGTTGACTCCATATCTACATTTTAATCATCCTAATTTTTACAAGCAAATTTGAATATGAGTTCATTTTATTTGGATTTTACGATACAATTACAATCTTTCAAAATATAAAATGATATTGTGTAAAATCTCAATCTTAACATATACTTGATTTATAGAATGTTAAATAATTAAAAATTAGAAAAACTAACCCATGGATGGGAGTGAAAAGAGACAATGGGTGCGATAGATTTGTTTCTTGGGGTGGTACTCACTGCAGCCAACCCATTTATACCCACCGCGATGCCAGGTGGCACTAACTCGCAACCGTAATAATGATTGTACACCCACCGGTCTAAATGGATTGGGATCCAATTTTTATCGGATTTGAAAAAACCTATTCTTGATTATATTGTTATTTTTTAAATACCTTAAAAGGTTGCCTTTTTATAATAGGGAAAATGACTTGTAAGGGTAATGATGTTTTTCCCGTGTTCACATTATACCATTAACGTTTTTTTTTAACAAAAAGTACCATTAAAATGTGTTTTCTGTACATAGTTTACCATTGGTAACCGGATACAATAGGTATCCCGGTAATTTATTTATTTAAAAATAATATATGTGGAAAATACGTGGTTCACCCCTCTCCATTAAACACCCTCACCCTCAATTAAACACTCTCAAAGCACGATTAAACACCCCCATACCAAGATCGTTGTGTAGGGTTTTCTCAGTCGAAGTTTTGTTTGAGATCGATCATGGCTGGTCCATCTAATGCAAAAGGATCAACTTACATTCAAGTAGATGTTCATTACGATGGAATGTTTTCCCCCATTCCTCATCTTATATACTACCTGAATCAAAAAACGTCAATTACAGATGTCGATTTTGGTGGAATAAATTTCAAGGAGTTCATTCATGTTCTTGAGGATGTCACAAAGGGGAAGTGTCCTGTTGTCTACTACTGTCTTGGGCATAAGTCAATGCGTGATGGGTTGACACCACTGAAAAACGATGATGACTACAGGAGGTTTCTTGATGCTGCACATGGTAACGAGGGAAAGATTAATGTATATATTGATCACTACAACGATTCGGTGCTTGACTGGATAGAGGAAGAAAAGGAAGAAAAAAGTGTTGATAGTGAAAGCTCTGATGAAGATAAAGACTCGGTCATGTCTGATGCTCTATCTGTTGATCATGAACCCGATGAAGAGGTAATACCATTGACTAAATCTGATGATCCCTTTCTTAACTATATTAGTGTTGTCCCTAGAGATGATTTTATTGATGAGGATGATGATTCAGATAATGGAACCAAAGAAGCCTCAATTTACCCTTTTCATGACTCAACTCAGAAATGGGATACAATGCAACCCATCCTTGGTATGAGGTTTTGTAACCCTCAAGAACTTAAACAGCTTGTCTCAAACTATGCAGTAGCAAATGGTTTTAACCTTTGGTATGAAAAAAATGATAAAACTAGGTTGCTAGTCAGGTGTTGTAAAACTAGTGAAGGAAAGGCAGCATGTCCTTTTAGACTATGGGCTACTTGGATGAGCAGTGAAAAGTCATTCCAAATTAAGTCCTTACGTAATGAGCATAACTGTGCTAGAACCTTCAAGTTTGGGTCAGTTGTTACTTACTCATGGATAGGGAAACATTTTGTTAATGGTATTTTAGAAAATCCCAAAATGAGTTGCAGGGAAATGAGGGATAAAGTTGGGGAAATTTTCAATGTGAAGGTTAGTGTTGGACAATGCAGGAATGCAAAGAAGTTTGCACTTAATGAGATCGAAGGTAGTTTGAACACACATTATGAAAAATTATGGAGTTATGGAGCTGAGATATTAAGAGCTAATCCAGGGTCAACAGTGAAAATTGGGACGGATACAATGCCTGATTCCACAATTTATTTTTCTAGGATGTATGTTTGTATCAAAGGTGTAAAGGATGGTTGGATTGAAGGATGCAGGAGGGTTATAGGTGTAGATGGTTGCTTTTTAAAAGGTATTTGTAGAGGTGAGCTTCTTTCAGCTGTAGGTAGAGACGCTAACAACCATATTTACCCCATTGCTTGGGCAGTAGTTGCAGTTGAGAACAAAGAAACTTGGAAGTGGTTTCTAAACTTACTACTTAAGGACATTAACATGGGAAATGGGGCAGGATTAACCCTACTTTCTGACCAACACAAGGTATTTATCCTAACTGTTTTTTAATTGGTTACCGTTTTATTTATCTTAATGTTATGTTTATCTTAATGTTATGTTTATCTTGCATGTTTAGGGTCTTATTGAGGCTGTTAAAGAAAGAGTACCAGATGTTGAGCATAGGCAATGTGCTAGGCACGTCTATGCTAATTTCAAGAAAAAATTTAAGGGTGCTGCATATAGGAAGCTTTTTTGGAGGGCTGCAAAGGCCACAACTGTGCAGAGGTTTGAAGGTATAATGAAAGAGATTAGGGTGATTGATATACAAGCGTATGATCACTTGATGGAAAGAGATCCAAAATCCTGGTCTAGGGCTTTTTTGTATTGGACAGGTCTTGTGATGCCATTGAGAATGGTATTTGTGAATCTTTTAATGCTACAATTGTGCATGCTAGGAAAAAGCCGATTATAACAATGTTAGAGGAAATTAGGAGGTTTGTGATGGATAGGATGTATTGTAAAAGATTGAAGGGGCAGAAATGGAATCTAGCCATATGTCCATCTATTAGAAAGAAAATAGTGGACAAGAGGAAACATCTAAGGTATATATACTTTATTTTATAGGTATTGGCATGTAATTTCCAAGTACTAATTTTATACTATATTCCTTTATTTTATAGGTATTGGTATGTAATTCCCAGTGGAGTGCAACAATTTGAGGTGAGGTCAGTACATGAGGTTTATGCTGTGTACTTGAACCAAAGAACATGTGCATGTAGAGGATGGCAACTAAGCGGTATACCATGTATACATGCCATGGCTGCTATTAGTTATCTAAATGAGAATGTGGAAGACTATGTGGCAACTTGGTTCACAACAGAAATGTTTGGAAATTGCTATAAGTATACAATTAATCCTTTAAATGGAAGTGAAATGTGGCCATCTTGGGAAGGTCAACCTATGTTGCCCCCGAAACGTAAAACATTACATGGCAGACCTAAAGTCAACAGGAAGAAGGCTGCTTCAGAAAAAGAAGGTCGTCATACTATTAGCAAGAAAGGGGCTATTACAAAATGCAGCATCTGTAGAGAACCAGGACACAACAAAATAACATGTCCACTGTCCAAAGAAGGTTTTTTTTCATATCAAGTATCATTCATTTACAAAAAAAAAATATAAGTATTATCTATTAATGCATTATAAATTTTAATGTAGGACCAAGTACTGAAGCCAAAAAGAAGAAGGGTAAACATGTTCCTGATGTTGAGGATGAGTCTGAATTTGAGATTGAAGAGATGGATGAAGTTGAAAATGAGTATGAATCTGAGTCTGAATCTGAGATTGAAGAGCTGGCTGAAGATGGTGATGAACCTGATCAGGGACAAGTTGATGAACAAGTTGTTGAAGCTACTGTTGAACTTGATCAGGAACAAGTTCATGAACTTGATCAGGAACAAGTTCATGAACCTGATCAGGAACAAGTTCATGGACCTGTTGTTGAGGAACCTGCTGCACAACCCGTTGTTGAAGTTGAACAAAGAGCACAACCATTGAAGAGGAAAAGGAAATACTCAGAGAGGATCACTGAAGTGGCATTAAGGAGGGTGGTCATCACCAAGGATGGATGTGGTTTAAGTGTGAATAAACCTGTTACACTGGAATGATTCCCTTTGATGTAAATCTGCACATTAAAAACTGTGCTTTTGTTTGTTTAAGGCAGAAATTACTATGCTTGTCTTTTGCTAAAAACCATGCTTGTCTTTTGATGTAAATATGCACATTAAAAACTGTGCTTTTGTTTGTTATTACCCTTTAAATATAATCTACATCGTTCAATGTTGCTTTTACATATGATTCCTTGTTTTTGACCATTATGCCCTTCATATTATTTTTTACCATTATTCACATTAGATCATATTCAAACACAAGATTCTGCAAAGTTGTTTGCAAAGTTGCTTTTACATAAGATTCTTTTTAACCATTATGCTCCTAGGATTCCTTCATTTTGACCATTATGCCCTTCTGCACATTAAGAGATAAAATTCTGCAAAGTTGTTTGTACAAGGGTAACATTCTGCACATTATTACCCTAATAAGACAATGCATGAATGCTCATTCAATGTTGTTTGTACTTAAGATTAAATCATATTCAAACTTAAGCCAAACATGTCCATATTATTTTTACCATTATTCACATTAAATCATATTCAAACACAAGATTCTGCAAAGTTGTTTGCAAAGTTGCTTTTACATAAGATTCTTTTTGACCATTATGCTCTTAGGATTCCTTCATTTTGACCATTATGCCCTTCTGCACATTAAGAGGTAAAATTATGCAAAGTTGTTTGTACAGGGGTAACATTTTGCACATTATTACCCTAATAAGACGATGCATGAATGCTCATTCAATGTTGTTTGTACTTAAGATTAAATCATATTCAAACTTAAGCAAAACATGTTCATTCAATCATATTCAGCAAAACATGTTCATTCAATCATATTCAGCAAAACAACCATAATATCCGATTACAATTTGACATTTATGCCCTTAAAAGTGATACTACAAACAACATAAACAACACAATTACATATGTTTTGAGACTGCTAATTTTTCTAATTATCTTATCAAATTCTTCATCTGTCTTCTTTTTGTAAATATTGAAATCATGGTCCATAATTGCAATCCTCACTTCACAAGATTGTGCCCTTACTTCACAGGATTGTGCTCCCACTTCATCTCTTTTCTTCTTGTTGACTGTATCTTCTTCATTAACCCATTCCCAGAATTTGCATTTAATTTCTGGGTTATCCTAAAACAAATATACGAAAATTATTGAAAAGACCTTACTACATATAGATTAAACCCGACATACCGTTGAATTAGGGCAAACCCTAAACTCTTTTCCAGGATTATCTTTGGCCGTTGAAGTCCAGATACGAGAAGGGTAGCCACAATCACAGGGATTTGCAAAATCAAGTTTCGATTTTGACTTGATTTTCTTCGATCTGGTGTTGGAGGTGTACGTAGAGGAGGAAGCCATGGATTTGAGAAAGCTGCTACAGTCTTGAAGAGTGAAGAAGAAATCGTGCTTTGAGAGTGTTTAATTGAGGGTGAGGGTGTTTAATGGAGAGGGGTGAGCCACATATTTTCCACATAATTTTTTTTTTTTTAAATAAATAAATTACCGAGATACCTATTGTATCCGGTTACCAATGGTAAACTATGTACAGAAAACACATTTTAATGGTATTTTTTGTTAAAAAAAAAACGTTAATGGTATAATGTGAACACGAATAAAACATCATTACCCTTACAAATCATTTTCCCTTTATAATACTTAAGTCATTATTGTAAATATCCCCATAAAAAACGGTAGATTTTGTTGCACAATTATTGCAGAAAATGAAGTTTATATATATTTAAAGAAAAAAAAAAAGTAAAACAACGAAACAGTCGATGTCATTGAGTTGAAACGTGGCAGAGAGAATTCCAAGTAGAAAACCCTACCAAAACGGCCTCTTGACTGGTCTTTGTCACTCATTTTAAAAAATCACCAACACGTCGTTTTACTTTTACCCAATCAAAACGCCACCTCATCCACAAATCTCCACGGACACGTGTCATCTCTTAAGATCACCTCCCCGACCTACAAATCTCCCCAACCCCCCACCTCAGATTCCACCGTTGCTCCGTCGTCTCTATATATCATTATCATCTTCACAGTTCACACATCCATATCGCCGGAATATTTCCAGCATTGTTGATTGAATACGCCCTGCGTCATTTCTCCGATCTCGATTTCAATTCTGTTACATGCTTTTATCCATGACTTTAGTGAAAAATTCTGTTAACGATGCCGTTTCCGTGAACGCTTCGGTGGCCGGAGATTTCCGAGATCGGACAACGATGACGACGTTGAAGGTTTTGAAAGAGATCGAAACGGATCAGGAAAGTAACGCATCGTCCTCGGAAGATATGGAGTTTTACTCTCCGAAGTCGGTTGTCGCGAAGAAGTGGCCGGTGACGACGAAGGAGGTTAATGTTTCCCGCGCTCGTGTTCATGATCCGATTGTGAGGATTAGAACGGAGGATTCGCAGATCGGAGAAGATATTGGCGAATGTTTTTGTAAGTTCGATCGCTCCGCCCACAATCGCGTAGATGTTATGACATTCTCCAGGCCGGCTTCGCCTCTCAGCGGGAAGACATCGTCGTCATCGATCAAAATCGAGCACTGAATCCGCCGCATGTTCGTCCTTTTTCTCTATCTCAATTCTCATACACCGTGTATATCATGAATATGTTCGTGCCTCTGCATCTACGACTGTAATTAAGCTCGTGTAGTTTAATCAGAATCATATCATAAGTATTTTAGATCTGAAATTCTCCTTTATGTTCAAGTTTTCTGTTCGTGTTGAATTCAAATCTCCACATATGAGATTGAATCTACTGCTAGTTTGCCAGAATTAGCAAAAATCCACCACTTGATTCCATTATTCCTATGGTTAATTCTACAACTATACAATTGAATCTATATTCATGTTTCATTCCTCTATTGTTATTGGTTTACACAGTCCTTTTTGATGATCATCCCAGGTGAAGATATGCGAGCAGGAAGCTAGGGAGACATCATGAAATAGAGAGTTTAGATTTTCTTCATTAGTTCGTGAAATAAAGTATGTAGAGAGTGCAGAGCAGGTTTTTTCTTGTACAGTGAAAAGTCAGAAAGTATATAGAAAGAGCCCTCTCTCTTTGATATAATCATCAGTTCCTTTTTGTTTCTCAACTGCTTTTCTACCTCTTTGATTAAATTTTATGCTTTGAGGCCCAATGAATTACTAATTCTTTCAATAGATGCAGGAAAGCAGATGATCATGGAACCAGGTTTTTTTTTTTTTAGAGTAGTTCATGATTAAATAAAGATATGATCATTAAAGGAACCCAACAACTTGAAAAACCTCAAGAAAATTAAAATTGAAGGTTGTTGCTGCAAGAGTAAAAAATCAATACTTTGGGTGAACATGTTGGAAATCATTCTTAAATTTTAAAACAGATTAATATTAGTTTTGAATCTCATAATTCAAAAAGGAAAACATATTAATTGTAGGAGTTCAGGAGGCTATGGGTGGAATTACCCTAGAATTGCAATTATAACGAACTAAATGTGGACAAGTCATTAGTTATCGGTCAAATCGAAGGTCAAATAACGAGTTGGTTTAAGGACTAGTTAGTTCAACCATCAAACTGATTCGACTACCAGCCAATTTGTCTGGTTTGCTTAATGGGCCAGTCCCACTCCTAGTCAATTCAGATATTAGTCATGTCCAAACCCAATCAAGCATGGGTGAGAATGTAGTTGTTAACCTTTAAAATTTAAATACCCCCCCCCCTCTTCAAACATACTTAGGCTCCTACGTGTCGATAAACGTGATGTCTTTGAACCGAACTGTTGTTTGTATAGAAAGAAAAAAGATGTCACAAAAGTTTGTTCATGTTAGTGGTTAAATCTTCATTATCATGTTCATTATTTGTAATAAATTACACGAATCAATGTCTTGTTCAAGTGCTAAAATGTCCATTCAGTTTTTATTTTTGAAAATTAATTCGGACCATCTCTCGTTTACTTAAAAGTTGCACGTTTCATCTCGACGAACATAAAAAAAATACTTTTGTCCTTATTTGTTTCATTTATGATTTCTTTTCCACTTACTTGTTATTTTTAATTATTTATTAATATTTTTATTAAAAATAATTATCTATTTCCTTTAATAAAAGAAAGACTCTAAACCCTAAATAGATCATCTCCCTACCCCCCATTTCTTCATCGGTTCGTCGACTTCAGATTGGACCAGGTCACAAGTCCATCGAAGAAAAGGAAGATTCAGATCGGAGAACTAGATTCAGATTGAACACAAATCGTCTCCATCAACTGCCCTCATCTGCATGTACAACCTTTTTCCCACCATGTACAAACTACTCTTAAAACCACCGGTCAAACTCCAACTGTAGGGGCGGCACACAACTAAAGAAGAGATTACCAGTGATGGTGATGCTCGATTTGAAACCCCCAAAGTGAAATCCTTGATGAAACCCTCAAAGTTCTTGATTTGAAACCACATGTCTCCTCACGATTTCTCAAAACCCTAATGCACGGGTGGTAATTGCCACATTTTATTCTCTCTCTCTCTCACACACACACACACACACAATCAACAAACATACACAAGGTGTGTTTGTGTTCTGTGTATCTCTGATTAGGAAGAGGAACGAGGAAACAAATGGCAATGAAGGGTCAAGGGTTTCAGGAAAAAAATCAGGTGAGATCAGTGGGAGAGAAAGCGGTGAGTATATTTCAAGTTTTCAAAAGGTTCCACCACCATTTTTTTTATTTCTCGAACGATTTTGAGATTTCTAAAGCAATTTTTAGTTTCTAGAATCATTTGGATTACGGGTTTAAGATTTTTTTATTTTTTATTTTTGATTTATGGAGAAGAGCATATCGGGAAAAGAAGATAAGGGGTGGGTGTGTTCCATTATTGGTGTCGGTGGTTAATTGTTCAACAAAAGAGGAAAAAAAAAGTTATAGTTTTTAGGTTTAAAGTTGGATGACCCACAATTTTAGTTAAAATATTTTTCAATAATTAAAAATAATCAGAAATATTAAAAATAAACGAAAAATAAAATTGAAAAAGACATTGTATCATTCCATACAACATATATCTACGGAAAACAAATGCTTAGGCCATTTAGTAATGTCTTCTACCAATTGGTGTAGTTACTCAACATTTATCCAAGCATATAAACTCAAATTTCATTATACACCTTGCAGAGTCGGTCCATGGGTTTGGGCAAGCTGGGCAACCACCCCGAGCCCCCAAATGTCAAAGGGCCTCCATTTTATACTAGTTATATTAATATAGCCATTATTTTTTAATCTAGTCCACTAGTTCAAGGAGTTTTCGACCGTAATAGGATGGATGGAAAAAATATTTACTATTTTAGTGTTCTTTCAAAACTATTTACCATTTTAGTGTTTTTCTTCTTTTTCTTTATTTTTTAGTTTCCTTTTCAGTTTTTTTTTTTAAATTTAAATATCTTATTTTTCTGTTTTTCTTTTTTATTCCACTTTTTATTGTTTTTCTCATTTTTCTTTACTTTTTAGTTTCTTTTCAGTTTTTTTTTTAAAATTTAAATATCTTATTTATTTTTCTTTTTTATTCCACCTTTATATATATATATATATATATATATATATATATATATATATATATATTATATATTATATATATATATATATAAATGACAACTTTCATTTTAGTTTTTTTTTATCCTTTTTTACTGTTTTTTAAATATATATTTTTTTATTTAATTTTTGCTGTTCTATTTAAATATCCGATTTTCTTATACAATCTTTTTACCATCAAATTTTAGCCTCAACATTAAAAAATCATCAAAAACCACCACTATAATCATATTTTAAGGTGCAAAAATTCCAACATTCACATACAATGTTTTTAAAGTGAAAAAAAAAATCTCAACATTGTTTCTTACAAAAAACATTGTAGGTGAATGTCACCACAAAAAAATCTAACATTGTTTATTACAAAAAGAAAAACATCACAATTAGCTTCATATTGAACCGGTAAAAAATCATTACCTGTAAAAAATATATATATTATTTTTTAAATTACCTTGACATAGATAGACATCTATTAAGTGGATGACTCTCCAACCATTCTCGAGCACGTGGATTTAACGGGACATAATCGAAAACGATGTTCGTCTATACCAAGGTAATTTAAAAAAATAATATTTTTATGGTATTTGTTATAGTTATTTTCTTGTTATTATTATTTTTTTTACAAGTAATAATTTTTTACCGGTTCAAGATGAAGCTAATTGTGATGTTTTTCTTTTTGTAATAAACAAAGTTGGGGTTTTTTTTTGTAAGGAACAATGTTGAGATTTTTTTCACTTTAAAAACATTGTATGTGAATGTTGGAATTTTTGCACCTTAAAATTTGATTATAGCGGTGGTTTTTTTATGATTTTTTAATGTTGAGGCTAAAATTTGATAGTAAAAAAGTTGTATAAGAAAATGAGATATTTAAATAATACAGAAAAAAACAAATAAAGAAAATATATATTTTAAAAAAACAGTAAAAAAAGGATAAAAAAACTAAAATGAAAGTTGTCATATATATATATATATATATATATATATATATATATATATATATTATATATATATATATATTATATATATATATATATATATATAATAAAAATGTGGAATAAAAAAGAAAAAAAAAAAAGATATTTAAATTAAAAAAAAAAAAAGCTGAAAGGAAACTAAAAAGTAAAGAAGATGAGAAAAACAATAAAAAGGAGGAATTAGGCCTAATTCCAACATTATCAGGCAAAAAGCGGGAACCGGAAAGCAATGTAAATTCCGATTTCCAAGGCTCGTAGTAGGCGATTTCTATGGAAACTCTAAATGCATTTGCAGTGCTTCCACTCGAAACTCCAATCAATAACAGTTACTTGATTTTTCTTTTAATGCGATTTGCCAATTTCTTTTCCTTCTTCTTTTCTGATTTCTGATCGCACGATTTCTTTCTTCCCCATCTAATGGGATTCACCCTTGAGTTGAGAGTTGTCGATATCTTGTAGCCTTGACCCTTGCACCGATTGAGAGTTGAAACCTTATTGGTTTTTCCTCTGATTTCTGATCTAACGGTTCATATCTCAGTCAATTGTTATTTTTGATTCTGAAATACCCCTCTGATTTTTATTTCTTTATTTAAAGACTTGAATCAGTTTGAGAATCAGAGAATTCAAAGATGCAAATCATGCTATTACTTTCTGAATGAATGTATGTTTAAAGCTTCTTGTTAAATTCAATTATTATCTAATGTGATGCAATTTTTTTTCTTACCCTATTATACAAATATCGCTATTGTAGTCTGTTGAATTCAAGTTTCTAATCAAATACAAATAATGATTTTTTTCATATACTGTGATATAGGTTTTGATTTTTTTGGCTGTTAAAATTGAGTTTTTTTAATTTTAACATTGTGACTCATATTATAAATATTCTGTTCTGCTGCATTCTTTGACTGTCAAACTCGATTTTTTAATTTGATGCATGTGACTTGGATTATTCTGGTAATCTTGTAATCTGGTTTATGTTGTATTCTTTGATTGTTAAACTTGATTTTATTTTCATATGTTGTGACTTTGATCATTTTGATTTTTGTTGCATTTGGATTTCTTATTCTAACACAGTTATATTATAAATTTCATATTTCTTACATAACAACAATCTTA